AGGCATTACCGGGGCGTTACAGAGGCATTACGAGTCGTTACTGGGGTGTTACAGAGGCGTTACCGGGGCGTTACCGAGGCATTACCGGGGCATTACAGAGGCGTTACCAGGGCGTTACAGAGGCATTACCGTGGCGTTACCGAGGCATTACCGGGGCATTACAGAGGCGTTACCGGGGCGTTACAGAGGCGTGACCGGGGCGTTACCGAGGTGTTACCAGGGCGTTACAGAGGCATTACCGCGGCGTTACAGAGGTGTTACCAGGGCGTTACAGAGGCATTACCGTGGCGTTACCAGGGCATTACAGAGGCATTACCGTGGCGTTACCAAGGCATTACCGGGGCGTTACCAAAGCGATACTGAGGACCTGGGCCTCGAGAAGCCTCTGCTGCTGGTCGGTTACCTGGGTGGCGGCAGGCACAGGTGTGCTCTGCAGGACGTTGATGGCCTTCTGCAGCAGGTCGATGGCGTCCTGACACTGGCTGGTCAGCCGCTCCACTCTCTGACCAACACAAAAGCTGGAGGTCAAGGGTCGGCGCCCACAGACCCACAGCGTTCACACCATCTCAGTCAGGCTGCAGGTGTCAGAGCGTCCTGAGGGTGGCAGTGCCGCGTATCAGACCAGGTGGGAGCCTCAGAGGGAGGCGGTTGCCTTGGTTACTCCACCGGGGACAGGACAACGCCAGAGGAGATCGGGCAGGACCAGGACCTCTGAAACCTGCAGAGTGTCTGTGTGTGTGTGTCTCAGTGTGTGTCTGCATGTGTGTGGTCTCACCCCTCTGAAGCTCAGCCAGCTGCTCTGGCTGAAGATGAACGAGCCTCCTAGCTCAGCAGGGAGCTGCTGGACATCCACATGCTTCTGCAGAGACTTCAGCGAGCTCAGAACCTCCACCTGAACCACACACACACACACACAGAGACACAAACAGACACAAACAGAGACACAAACATACAGAGACACACACATAGACACACACAGACACACACATACACACAGAGACACACACGGTCAGGCGTGCGCTGCATGTGACGAGGGGTGGGGTGGGGTCATGTGACGGGGGTGGGGAGGGTGTTACCTGGGCCGCACGTTGGTCCACACGCAGAGTCCAGTCTTTGCTGACCAGGATCAGAACCGAGCGGATGGAGCCTGGAGAGTCCTCCTGCACACAGACAGGGTTCAGGACCCAGAACTGCTTCTCCCTCTTTCAGCCCGACCCGGCCGTGTAACCCTCGGCCTGTAGGCCTCTGGGTCTCAGCCCTCTGGACCAAATCCTGAGGGAGCTGGTTTAAACTCACCTGCAGTGACCACAGGGCTGAGAACAGGGCGGCGGCAGGAGCAGCTCTGCGGGCGTCCAGCAGCACCGTCAGCCCCAACGCTCGCACCTCCTCACTGTGACACACAGGAAGTGATGTCAGAGCAGCACAGGAAGCAGCTGAGAGGCAGGAGGTGGTCTGAGGGGGGAGGAAGTCTGAGGGGGCGTGGCTGAGGGGTGGGGGCTACCCGAGGGGCAGGCCTACCTGAGGGTGGAGCTGTAGTAGAGCAGGAGGCGCAGCAGCTCGGCGCTGTGGCAGTCGGGGTCCGACCAGACGGCGTGGGAGCAGCAGGCGGTGAGCACAGCAGCTCCTCCTCGGTCTCTGGTCCCTGCAGAGGAGGCCAGGCTTTAGTGCACGTGTGTGTGCACGTGCTCCGCCCACCTTGCTGTGACTCCAGCTGAAGAGTTTATTCCCCCCAGAGCCCAATAAGGAAGCGGCGGGGCCCATAGAAAGAGGGCGGGGCTATTATAAAGGGGGCAGGGCCCAAATAAACGGGTGGGGATATGTAAAGGGGGCGTGGTCACATAACGGGGCGGGGCCCAGGCAACTCTGCCTGAGGGGATTCAGACCCAGAGCTTCTGGACTCATGGACCCAGTCACATGGAACACATGGGGTTCAGAGCCCCCCAACCCGGAGCTCTGGGGAATGTAAAGGAATGTTCTGGTTCTGGAGGGACTGTAAAGGACCGGGATGAGCGTCCACTCACCAGGCAGACAAACGGCTGCAGACCTCAGCAGCAGGCTGTAGAACCTGGACCCGGAGGACTGGACTGCTGGTGGTTCTGGTTCGGCAGCACCAGGCGGGCCGACTTCTGAGTGGATATAGGGAGACCGACAGCCAATCAGAGGAGGAGGAGGACAGTCAGCCAATGAGAGGAGGACAGTCAGCCAATGAGAGGAGAAGGACACACGAAGCCAATCACAGGAGGAGGAAGACAGAGTCAGCCAATGAGAGGGGGAGGAAAGTCAGCCAATCAGAGGAGGAGGAGGACAGTCAGCCAACTGGAGGAGTAGCCTCAAGGATGAGGAGCAGGAAAAGAGGAGCAGATCTCTGTACCTTCAGCAGGAGGCTCCTCAGATCTTCCTCCTGCAGCTTCCTCACAGCGCTGCTCCTCCAGAGGTTTCCGTGGCGACGGAGCACGCTCAGTGACGCTCGCTCCTCCCTGCTCCTCTCCTCCCGGCTGCACTTCCTCTCCTTGATCATTCTTCGTGACCGTGACCTGAACCTTCTCCTCCTCAGCTCCTTCCTCCAGTTTCCCACCTCCACCCATTCCTTCTACTACATCCGTCTCCTCCCTTTGCTCCCCGTCCTCCTTTCCCCACCTCTCCTGCTCCTGTACCTGTTGGTCCTCACTAACCCACTCCTCCCCCCTCTGCTCCTCCCTCCTCCTGCCACTGCCATCCCGCTGCTCCTCCTCCCCCCTCCTAAGCTCATCCCTCTGCTCCTCATTCCTCCTCCTCTCATCTCTCTGCTCCTCCCTACTCCTCTGCTCTTCCTCCTCCCTCCTCAGCTCATCCCTCTGCTCCTCCTGCTCCCTCAGTTCATCCCTCTGCTCCTCCCCCCTCCTCTCCCTCTGCTCCTCCTCCCATCTTTTCTCATCCCTCGGCTCCTCCTCCCTCCTCCTCTTTTCATCCCTCTGCTCCCTCTGCCCCTCCTCCGTCCTCATCTCTTCCTTCTGCGCCTCCCCCCTCCCTTGCTCCTCCTCACCTCCCTGTTCTGACCCGGTTCTGGGTTCTGGTCCGAGTACTTCAGGTGGTTCTGGCCTCTGAGGAGCAGAGGAGGAGCAGTGGTCCTCCTCCAGGAGCAGCGTTGGGGTATCAGACCCAGCCTTGGAGGGCCTGGCTTGGGTCCGGGTTCTGGTTCTGGCCCGGTTCTGCTGGCTGATGGACTGGGTCAGGGAGCCTTTGTGGGGGCCGAACCGGGGCAGCTCCACCAGCTCCACATACTCCCCCTCCGAGTCCTCGCCGCTGGCAGCCGATTGGCCGGGGTGGGCAGGCGGTGGGCGGGGCTCCTGGAGGGGGGGTCCGGCCCTGAGCTGTGGGTAGACCAGGTCCTCCCAGGGGACCCTGGAGACGCCCCGGGGGGCGGCGAGCAGGCAGCGCCGCAGCGGCGCCGCTCCCCGCCGCTGGCGCTCCCTGTTGACGGTGTCCAGCCAGGCCATGCTGAAGACCGCGCCCAGAGCGCCGCCCGCCACCGGCTGGCGCTCCGCATGGCGCCCGCCGGCCGCCCGGCTGCACAGCAGCAGGCGGGGCGCCGCCGTCCGGCCGCAGGGGGCGCCGGCCGGCCAATCAGGAGGCGGCGTGGCGGCGGGAGCTGGACAATCGGGAGACGGCGTGATGGCGGGAGCTGGCCAATCGGGAGGCGGCGTGGCGGGGGGGGCGACCAGCAGGTAGAAGTCTCCTGGACGGAGCAGCAGCGGGTCCAGAGGGCAGAGCTGCACCACCAGCTTCTCCTGGAGGGACAGCGGCCAGCCAGGAGGAGGGCCGGGGGGGGGCAGCTGGAGAGGGGGGGGCGGTGGGGAGAGAGCGCCACGTCAGAGGGGCGCACGTCATGATCGTGCACGTCAACAGGGTGCATGCCAGAACCAGGTCAAACCGGGTCGGGTCATGTCAGAACCTGGTCAGAGCAGGGTCTGGTCATATCAGAACCAGTCCAGAACCGGGTCGGACCATGTCAGAACTGGTTCAGAACCGGGTCTGGTCATGTCAGAACCGGGTCAGAACCGGGTCTGGTCATGTCAGAACCGACCGGGTCAGAGCCAGGTCGGGTCATGTCAGAACCGGGTCAGAGCCGGGTCAGAACCGGGCCGTACTCACCGCCGGCCCCTGCAGGCCCAGCAGCAGGCGCCTCGCCGGCAGCAGGAAGTCCAGCAGGCAGCGCTGACGGTCTCCACGGTAACAGGCGTCCGCCACGCCGAGGACCTGAAGGAGGACGGTCGGCGAAGAGGCCGGCGGGTACAGCGGCGCCAGGAGGCGGGCCAGAGACTCAGAGTCCTGGAAGAGAACCGGGTCAGAGCGGGTCAGAACCAGAACCAGCCTCTGGACCCACAGTGGATCGGGTCAGAACCAGAACCAGCCTCTGGACCCACAGTGGAGCGCGTGAGAACCAGAACCAGGACCAGCCTCCCAGACAGCTGGCAGCCAAACGGCTCCAAGGCCAAAATTAGCTTCTGGTTTCAGATGTCCCGTCTGAGGGGGGCGGTCTCATTTCTATGACGTCATCTGACCACGCCCCCCTTAAGCCCCCACCCCACGAGGAACCGCCCCCCTTAAGCCCCGCCCCCTGCTTTAACCCCTGTGCGCTCTGAGGCTCCGCCCCTCCTCCTCTCCTCCTGGCCCTCCCCCCCTCCTCCACAGATAGCAGCAGGAATGCAGGACATGTCCAAACAGAGCCTCTGGGACCCAGACCTGGACCCAGACGTGGTCCCAGCAGAGCCTCTAAGACCCAGACCTGGTCCCAGCAGAGCCCGTGGAACCCAGACCTGGACCCAGACCTGGTCCCTCTGTGGGAGGAGAACTCCCCCTCTGACCTTGACTGGCCAGTTTCTAAACAGCTGATTAGATGGGAGGAGTCCTCGTTCCACAGCTTTGAGAGGCTGAAGGAGCAAAGAACGGGTCCCTGGGGGGCCACTGGGGGGGGGGGAAAGAGCTGGTTCGGGGGGTAGGTAGTTCCCCCTAAAGAGACCTACAGAACCCACAGAACATACAGAGACCTACAGAACCCACAGAACCTACAGAGACCTACAGAGACCCACAGAGACCTACAGAGACCCACAGAACCCACAGAACCTACAGAGATCCACAGAACCTACAAAGACCCACAGAACCTACAGAGACCCACAAAACCAACTGAACCTCCAGAGACATACAGAGAACCACAGAACCTACAGAGACCCACAGAACCTACAGAGAGCCACAGAACCTAAAGAGACCTGCAGAACCTACAGAGACCCACAGAACTAACAGAACCTACAGAGACCCACAGAACCTACAGAGACCTAGAGAACCTACAAAAACCCACAGAACCTCCAGAGACCTACAGAAACCCACAGAACCTACAGAGACCTGCAGAACTTACAGAGACCCACAGAACTTACAGAACCTACAGAGACCCACAGAACCTACAGAAACCTAGATAACCTACAGAAACCCACATAACCGCCAGAGACCCACAGAACCTACCGAGACCCAGAGAACCTACAGAGACTGACAGAATCTACAGAGACTTACAGAAACTACAGAGACCTGCAGAACCTACAGAGACCCACAGAACCTCCAGAGACCGACAGGGACCCACAAAACCTCCAGAGACCTACAAAGACCCACAGAACCTACAGAGACCTGCAGAACCCTCAGAGCCCCACAGAACCTACAGAGACCCACAGAACCTACAGATCCTATGGAGACCTACAGAGAGCTTAGAATGAGCTTCAGACAGTTCAAGGAGCAAACACCTGTTCACACAGCTCAGAACTCTTTAGAACCAGTCAGAACTTCTCGGAACTCTGTAGAACCAGGTGTTATTCGGGCCAATGAACAGCTTTCAGCTGCAGACACAAACAGACCATAGGACAAATGTGGGAATACACCGAATGGAAACCTAACACCCAGGGCCTTTCCACCCCCCTCGCCCTCCTCCCCCCTACCATGCTGGCTGCTGTGTGGCTCCTCTCTCCGCTCTGCCTCCATGCTGCCTCTCTCCGTCTCTCTGGCGGTTCTGACTCCTCACGTTCTGCTTTCAGCTTAGACGGTAAGCCCCGCCCATCGGCCCCGCCCACCACCCGCAGGACAGTAAACCCTGCCCATCATATACCAGAATCAGTCCCAAGCCCTGCTTGTAGGTCACAGGCCCAGCCCTCTGGCCCCTCCCACCAGCCACGGGCCCCTCCCACCAACCTCAGGCCACGCCCACCCAGCCCCGACATCCTCCTCCTCTGCTGCTCCCTGCTGACAGCACCAGAAAGTTCCAGCTGGGCAGCTAACGCTGCGCCACAATGACCCAAAGAGGGGAGCAGAGGCCTGGGGGGGTTTGGGGGTGGCTAGGGACCCGACTCGGCTCCGACCCAGGAACCTATCCACGGTCATGTGAGCACAGAAATCATTCAATCTGATGGTTCCCCTCTCAGAGTGGGCGGGGTCAGTCGCTTTATGACTCATCAGTCATGTGACCCTCTGGCCAATCAGAGCCAGCCTTCTCTGGACGGCTCATTTCTCTTCACGCTATCTGCAGAACCACCTGCCCCCCACACCGGGCGTCCCGAGTCCAGACCCAGACCAGGACCCCGGCTGGAGGCTTCAGCAGCAGCTCTGAGGCTGTGGGAGGAAATGAGAGGAGGGTTCAGACCTGCTGCAGCCCGCAGGACTCTGAGAGTCCAGGCAGCGCCCGACAAAAGGCAGCAAATAACAACAAACAATTACAACAAACAGCAAATAACAACAAACGATTACAACGAATAACAACCAACCAGCAATTACAACAAAGACCAAACAAACAATTACAACAAACAACAACAACAAACAATAACAAACAGCAAATAACTACAATAAAAAATAACAACAGATAACAACAAAGAACAACAAACAATAACAAAGAACAACAAACAAACAATCACAACAAATAACAACAAAACAGCTAAAACAACCAACAGTAACAAAGAACAACAAACAATCACAACAAATAACACAAACAACATACAGTCACAAAGAACAACAAACAAACAATCACAACAAACAGCAATTAACCACAAACAAACAATGACAACTAATAAACAATTACAGCAAATAACAACACCTAATGGCTGAAGCCCCAAAGGAGTCTGATGCCTGGGCTCCACCCCGCTGGGGGAGGCAGACCCCGCAGAGCCAGGTCAGAATGACCCAAAGTGAGCAGGAAGTTTAAGTTTGGTCACACCATACCTAATAAATCAATAATCCCCTTACCATGACTCAGCTGTTTAAAGCTAACTGAGGCTGTAAGCATTAGCCGTGTTACAAACTGTTAGCTTCTGCGCCGTTAGCATTAGCCAGCTGACCGACAGAGCCGTTACAAACCACTAGCTTCTGCGCCATTAGCATTAGCCACTATACAAACTGCTAGCTTCTGCGTCGTTATCTGGCTGACAGAGCTGTTACAAACAGTTGGTTTCTGCGCCATTAGCATTAGCCAGCTTTACAAACTGCTAGCTTCTGCGCTGCTAGTTTGCTGCTGACAGTTAGAAAGGCCGCCAAACCGCCCAGGTCACGTGACGTCCCGGCAGGTTACCGTTAAACCACCGTTAACAACTAAAACTGACCTGAGCAGCAAACATGTCTGCGGTTTCTCTGAGCCTCCACCAGATGTGGATCCTCACTCCACCAGATGT